GAATATCCGCTCACTCCGCAGAAGGTAGCAGCGATCCTGCGCGATCGTAAGGGACTAAAAGGCGCCGACATTGGCAATGGTAATGAGAAGGCGGTGAACCAGCTCATTGCGCATCACTCTATTATTTTTAAACCCGATAGCCTGCAGGTTTGGGTAAGTACGGCGCCCTGGCAATTAGGTACTTATGTTTGTTACGACCTCCGGAAAATATTCTCCATGAACGGTTTGCAGCACGATGTGGAAGTAGCCGATAATGATAAAAACATTGCTCCCGACCCATTCCTGAACACGGTTGATTTTCAGAAATTCATGCAATATCACCAGGGGAAAGTAGCGTTGATAAACAAACAGCCGATAGATACAGCGGCGGTGGCACATGCCGTTCCCGCGTTTTATGACGGGTATCGTATTGCCGGTGATTATTCCATGGGCAAAGGTTGGTATGCTGCTGCAATCGGGTATTACCAGCAGGCATTGACCCATGAGATTGCCACGCTCGATGAAAAGCAACATATTGAAGACAAGCTCCGGGAATGCCGGAAGAGCCTGGCAAAGAAATAGTGTGCCGGACGGGTATAACGTCAATTCTCCTTGTAAGGAAAAAGCTGCTTTAATGATTCGTAAACGCTGAGGTGCAGTATGGTCGCATGGTTCTCTTTCAGCATTTTATTAAAGTCGATCTTACGATGTTTAGGACCTGCGTTTTTTAAGGTTGTTGCTAAAGCCGCGGCGTCTTGCTCCATTATTTTTCCTTCCTTTCCTACAGAGATCATTACGCGTATGGAGTCATTGCCTTGCCGGGCCAGTAGTGCGGGCGCTTGTTGTAGCAATGATTCATTATCCCACCAAAGGCTGGGACTCACAATAATATAATGGGTAAACAAGGAAGGCTTTTTGAGCAGTATTTCTGTGGCCACCAAACCGCCCAATGATTGCCCGATCAGGTATTTGGTAGCGCTGGTTTTGTAGTGTGATTGGATATAGGGTTGTAGCTCCTGCTCCATAAAACGGATAAAACTTTCGGAATGCCCCGTTGTCGGGTACTGTTTTTTATCGGCGGCAATGGTGGTTGGGAAGGTGAAATCGCGTTTCCGGTCTACATTGGCAATACCTACGACAATGGTATTAGGCATGTTCATCATGAGCTGGAAAAACTGGACAAGGCCCGTGATATGCAGGAAGTCTTCGTTCATAGATCCGTCCAGCAGGTAGATGACCGGGTATTGTCCGGCCTTGTTGCTATCATATCCTGCCGGCAAATAAATATTAAGCGTTCGCTCCTCTGAAAGTATTGCCGAATGAATGGTTGTGGTTGTGCCGATACAAAGGGGAGCTGTGGCGGTTTCCTGTGCTTTTATAACGCTCGCCAATAATAGCAGGCAGAGGGTAATGATGTGATGTTTAATCATTTGGTTGGGTACTTGGTAGCAAATGTAGGGTTTCACGGAAGGACGGTTAGGGGGATTTTTAGCAGTAAGATTAGTAAAGTATAAGGTTGATCTTAGTCCCCCGGCTAAGATCGGCCGGGGTCGCGTCCCCTGACGCGCATACAACCAACGCCGGACATTAGCAATGATCATGTTATTATTAAAGCCCACGAGTATCAATACCAACAACGGCATTAAAAGATGGCTGGTTGTTTCAATGGCCGTCAGGAGACTTTTCCGGCGCATTAAGGGAATTTTATTTGCCAAAGCTTTATCTTGCGTCCGCAAATAAAAGTGCAATAGTAGCATACCAGTTGAACGGAGCGTCGCAACGGATGTTTGGTCAGCAATCAGCAGCTTCATTACCAAATTGAATATCAACTTAGTGACACCCTCAGTAACCGCACCGTCCCATGAAGCCTTATTCCTGAAGCATAAGGCTTGTGTATTGTTGCCT